TACATTTGTTTTAATGTTTCTAACCTGTACTGAAATAGGATATGAATAAATGACCTTGATGGTACTCCATAACTCTTCTGCCTCATAGCAACCAATGGCTAGCTCGAAAAAGTTTTCAACATTTACTATATGGGACAAATGTAGGCTGTTATGTGTAATGATCTACTGCCATGTGTTAAAACTCTGAGAAGCTGTGATTGACTATGGGTTTTCCAAGTCACAGTCAATCACAGAACACACACAAGTAAATATATATCAGATCATTATACATGATGCTCTGTCCCCAAATGAAATATTTGCTGTGCAGAAAGATGTAGCATCTTTAAGATGGCCCTTGGCATCAAAGAATTTATCTTTCTCTTGCATATAACCACACACAAAGATTTATCTCAGACAAACTGAAGTATTTTCCTAAAGGCCAATCTCATCCAATCAGTTAAGGATGTTAAGAACCCATCCTCCGCAAGGATGCCACTACTAGGATTCTCATTTTATCCATCCAACAGAATTCCTTTCCACTGTCAACAAAACTGCCAGAACCATGCATGTGGACATAAACTCCTACAAAAAGGAATCTATAACCTTCCTCAAAAATGAAAAAATATTTCCCTCATCTCCATATAAAGTGTACCAAGGGTGCTACATATCAGCATAGCAAACCTTAACCACAAACCAGTGAAACATCAAGCTCACCTGCCCCCAACCGAAGCTGCAAGACTCTCAAGTGTAACTACCTGGCAAGACCAATCTGCAAAAATTCCTAGAAATAAACCTTCTCTAACAAAGCAACAAGAACTCCAAAAAGAGTGATCTGTTGGGAGTTTTTTGATTGTGCATTCCTGAACGGCAGAAGGGTTTGGAATGGATGGCCCTTGAAGACTCTTCCAACACAATGATTCTATGAAAATGTATCTACACAAATTAAACACATAGCCCGATGAGATACAAATACACATGCTAGTCTACACCCCCTCTCCAATGAAGCTGAAAGATCCAAAAGAAAAAATAAAAGAGTGCAAGAATACTTTATGTTCGTATATGAGTATAGAGTTGGAAGATACTCCAAGGGCCATCCGTTCCAACCCCCTTCTGCCAGGCAGGAAATACAATCATGTCTCTTTAAGAGAGAAAAAGTGGCATATAAAAAAAGATCATCATCATCAAAGCATTCCTGACAGATGACCATCCAGCCTCTGCTTAAAATCTTTGAGAGAAGGCAATTCCAACATGTGTATGGAATTCTTGTAGTGTTGTTTTGTGGTTCTGGCGTGCATGAGGATCAGGTGCAAAAACAAGCGAAACAAGAGACTTTGGCAGGTGAAAGGCAAACATCTTCAAAACTATTGCAAGGAGGCATGGATACAAATTGTGGAAAAAGATATTCCAATTAAACATTAGGAAGAATTTCCTGGTGGGATATGGTGGTGTCTCCCTCTCTAGAGATTTTTAAGCAGAGGCTGGATAACCATCTATCAGGAGGGCTTGGATTTTGTCTTCCTGCCTGGGAGAAGGGTTTTGGACTACATGGCATTTAGGGACTTTTCCAACTCTAGGATTCTATGAGGCAGGACAGCCAACTGTCGAGTGAGCTCCAATTGTGCCTATTATTTATTTATTTATTTGATACACTTGTATACCGCTAATATCTCAGCCTAGAACGGCGACTCATTGCGGTTTACAGCAGTTAAAACAATCTACAATTTAAAAACATATACACATATAATAACAAATTCAATAACAAATTATTGGGCCACCAATAATAATCCCATATATCTCGAGTTGAAATCGCAATCCAGAATTCGTTGTCCATGTTTCCTGTCCTTAGTCATCAATATTCGAATTGCCACAGATTAGCCGAATGCTTGTTTGAACAGCCATGTTTTGAGTCTCTTCCTAAACACCATCAGCGAAGAGGCTGATCGTACCTCTATAGGGAGGGTGTTCCAAAGCCGGGGGGCCACCACAGAGAAGGCCCTATCTCTCGTTCCCGCCAGCCGCACTTCTGAAGCTGGAGGGATAGAGAGAAGGGACTCTCCGGAAGATCTTAGGGTCCTGGTGGGCTGATAGGCTGAGATACGTTCGGATAGATAAGTTGGGCCAGAACCGTTTAGGGCTTTAAAGGCCAATGCCAGCACTTTGAATTGAGCCCGGTAGCATATCGGCAGCCAGTGGAGCTGGTTCAGCAAGGGAGTTGTATGCTCCCTGCACCCCGCTCCTGTTAGAATCATGGCTGCCGCCTGTTGGACTAACTGGAGCTTCCGGACTGTCTTCAAAGGCAACCCCACGTATTATGGCAGAATGGGTTTGGACTGGATGACCTTTGAGGTCTCTTCTAACGCTAGGATTCTATAATAATCATCATCATCTTTAATAATGATGATGATGGAGTCTCCTTCTATGTCCATCTATCGGGAGGATTTTGATGGTGTCTTCCAAATTGTGGAAGTTGAAACCCAAAGCACCTGGTGGGGTGAAGTTTTTCCGTGCACGATTGGGCAAACTGGTTGGGGTTGGATTGGTTGGCCCTACGGGTCTATTCCAACACTGGAATCCTGTTTATTTAGGGGCTGGATAAACTGAGTATTCCTTTATGGCAGGAGGGGACAGGACTGGATGGCCCTTGGGGTCTATTTCAACTCTGGGATTCTATGATTCAGAGGTTGGATAGCCATCTGCCGGGAGGGTTTCGATTGTGCCTCCCTGCCTGGCAGAATGGGGTTGGACTGGATGGCCCTTGGGGTCTGTTCCAACTCTGGGATTCAGTGATTCAGAGGTTGGATGGCCATCTGCTGGGAGGGTTTTGATTGTGCCTCCCTGCCTGGCAGAATGGAGTTGGACTGATTGACCCTAAAGTCTATTCCAACGCTAGGATCCAATCATTCTGAGGCTGGATAGACATCTGCCAGGAGGGATTTTATAGTGTCCTCCTTTGATGGCAGATGGGGGTTGGACTAGATGGGGTTCTCTGTTTCAAAGGATGGCCATCTGCTGGGAGGGTTTTGATTGTGCCTCCCTGCCTGACAGAATGGGATTGGACTTGATGGCCCTTGGCATCTGTTCCAACTCTGGGATTCTATGATACAGAGGTTGGATGGCCATCTGCTGGGAGGGTTTTGATTGTGCCTCCCTGCCTGGCAGAATGGGATTGGACTGGTTGGCCCTAAGGGTCTATTCCAACACTGGAATCCTGTTTATTTGGAGGCTGGATAAACGGTGTCTTCCTTTATGGCAGGAGGGGGCAGGACTGGACAGTCCTTGGGGTCTATTCCAACTGGGATTCTATAATTCAGGGGTTGGATGGCCATCTGCTGGGAGGGTTTTGATTGTGCCTCCCTGCCTGGAAGAATGGAGTTGGACAGATTGACCCTAAAGTCTGTTCCAACGCTAGCATCCAATTATTCAGGGGCTGGATGGACATCTGCCAGGAGGAATTTGATAGTGTCCTCCTTTGATGGCAGATGGGGGCTGGACTGGATGGCCCCTGGTGTCTGTTCCAACTTTGGGATTCTCCAATTCAGAGAATGGCCATCTGCTGGGAGGGTTTTGATTGCGCTTTCCTGCCTGGCAGAATGGGGTTGGACTGGATGGCACTTGGGGTCTGTTCCAACTCTGGGATTCTATGATTCAGAGGTTGGATGGCCATATGCTGGGAGGGTTTTGATTGTGCCTCCCTGCCTGCCAGAATGGGGTTGGACTGGATGGCCCTTGGCGTCTGTTCCAACTCTGGGATTCTCTGATTTAGAGGTTGGATGGCCCTATGCCGGGAGGGTTTTGATTGTGCCTCCCTGCCTGGCAGAATGGGGTTGGACTGGATGGCCCTTGGGATCTGTTCCAACTCTGGGATTCTCTGATTCAGAGGTTGGATGGTCATCTGCTGGGAGGGTTTCGATTGTGCTTCCCTGCCTGGCAGAATGGAGTTAGGACTGATTGACCCCAAAGTCTGTTCCAACGCTAGGATCCGACCATTCTGAGGCTGGATGGACATCTGCCAGGAGTGATTTGATAGTGTCCTCCTTTGATGGCAGATGGGGGCTGGACTGGATGGCCCTTGGCATCTGTTCCAACTCTGGGATTCTATGATTCAGAGGTTGGATGGTCATCTGCTGGGAGGGTTTCGATTGTGCCTCCCTGCCTGGCAGAATGGAGTTGGACCGATTGACCCTAAAGTCTGTCCCAATGCTAGGGTCTGATCATTCAGGGGCTGGATGGACATCTGTCAGGAGGGATTTGATAGTGTCCCCCTTTGATGGCAGATGGGGGCTGGACTGGATGGATTTTCTATTATGCAGAGGATGGCCATCTGTTGGGAGGGTTTTGATTGTGCCTCCCTGCCTGGCAGAACGGGGTTGGACTGGATGGCCCTTGGCGTCTGTTCCAACTTTGGGATTCTCTGATTCAGAGGTTGGATGGCCATCTGCTGGGAGGGTTTTGATTGTGCCTCCCCGCCTGGCAGAATGGGGTTGGTCTGGTTGGCCCTAAGGGTCTATTCCAACACTGGAATCCTGTTTATTTGGGGGCTGGATAAAATGTGTCCTCCTTTATGGTAGGAGGGGGTAGGACTGGACGGCCCTTAGGGTCTGTTCCAACTCTGGGATTCTCTGATTCAGAGGTTGGATGGCCATCTGCTGGGAGGGTTTTGATTGTGCCTCTCCGCCTGGCAGAATGGGGTTGGACTGGTTGGCTCTACGGGTCTATTCCAACACTGTTTATTTGGAGGGTGGATAAACGGTGCCTTCTTCCTTTCTGGCAGGAGGGGGGCAGGACTGGATGGCCTTTGGGGTTCCCTTTCCAGGGTGTCCACACCCCTCGCGGCCAAATCCCCGCCAGAAGGCAGCCACACACGCCCCGCGAGGGGTTCCACCCCCGGAGGAGAGGCTGGGCCTGCCTCCAGTGAGCGACTCCGGCTGTCAGGCTCCGCCAAGGCCCCGAGGCCTAGCTGTCACAGGGTCCCCGCTCTCTCCTCTCGCTCAGGCCTGGCCGACCCCCGCCTCGCCACTCACCGAACGGCAGCAGCGAGGCATCCTCCTCCTCCGCGCCGCCTCATCCTCCAGGCCGCGAGCGAGGCCACCTGCCTGAGGCGGAGACAAGGCCCGAGCCAGGCCCGAGGCGCGGCAAACTCGGCTCCGGCGGGCCAAACAGCCCCGCGCTCTCTCTGGCTGGGCGCTGAGGGCGGCCGCAGATCCAAAATGGCGGCAACGGTGTAGTAAGCCGCGGCCGTAAGGCAGGCAAGGCAGGCAGGCGGGGAAGCCTCCTTACCTCAGCCAGCGCGCGCGCGCCTCCTGCGTCGCGTGCGCGGGACACGCTCGAGCCGCCGCCGCCGCCGCCTCGCGCACTCTCCCCGCCAACGCGCGTGCGCCAGGGAGCGCGCCTTGGCCACGCCCCCGACTCCCCCCCCCACCCTGCTTGGTTGTAACGACCTTCTCCTGTTTCTGTCAATCAACCGCCCCGCCGGCCAATCACATCTCCCTCCCTTTCGCGCGCGCCCTTCTGCCTGCCTTCGCCTTGACCATCACACTACCCACACACGCCTCAACCTGCCAACCAAGCTTCACAGACCCAAGCAAGTATTCAAATACGTATTTTTTTTTTGGAGGAAGAAAGTATGTCCCTTCAGGCTTTCCGTAGGTAAAGCAAGGAAAGGGATGCTTTGCTCACGCCGTCGAGCAGTAAAGATGGCGGCGCCCAGGAGAGCAAAGTGATAGCGTTCTGGAGGGAGATCTTTTGGCCAAGCAGGTAGGTGGCTCCTCATAGTTACTCAGGCTATTTATTATTTATGTATTTAGTTTACTAGCCGTCCCCTGCCACGGGTTGCTGTTGAGCTCTGTGAGTGCAACATTTTTTTCCGAATGAAGCAGAGAGTGTTTGAGGACGTCTGTAGGGATACCAAGGTGGTTGTTTATAAAGGTTCTTGTGGGTTTTTTTCGGGCTATAGGGCCATGTTCTAGAGGCATCTCTCCTGATGTTTCGCCTGCGCATCTATGGCAAGCATTCTCAGAGGTAGTGACCTCACTACCTCTGAGGATGCTTGCCATAGATGCAGGCGAAACGTCAGGAGAGAAATGCCTCTAGAACATGGCCCTATAGCCCGAAAAAACCCACAAGAACCTAGTGATTCCAGCCATGAAAGCCTTCGACAATACCTTGTTTATAAAGCTACTAGCCATGCCCTGCCACGAGTTGCTGTGGCCCACATGGGGGTTCTGTGTGGGAGGTTTGGCCTAATTCTATCGGTGGGGTTCAGGATGCTCTGTGATTGTAGGTGAACTATAAATCTCAGCGACTACAACTCCCAAATGTCAAGGTTCTATTTTCCCCAAACTCCACCAGTGTTCACATTTGGGCATATTGAGTATTCTTGTAGAGTTTGGTCCAGATCCATCATTGTTTGAGTCTACAGTCAACTTGGGCATACTGAGTTTGGTCCAGATCCATCATTGTTTGAGTCCACAGTGCTCTCTGGATGTAGGTGAACTACAACTCCAAAACCAAAGGACACTGCCCACCAAACCCTTCCAGTATTTTCTGTTGGTCATGGGAGAACTGTGTGCCAAGTTTGGTTCGATTCCATCGTTGGTGGGGTTCAGAATGCTCTTTGATCATGTTGTTCATTCGTTCAGTCGTCTCCGACTCTTCGTGACCTCATGGACCAGTCCACGCCAGAGCTCCCTGTTGGCCGTCACCACCCCCAGCTCCTTCAAGGTCAGTCCAGTCACTTCAAGGATGCCATCCATCCATCTTGCCCTTGGTTCGGCCCCTCTTCTCCTTTCCTTCCATTTTCCCCAGCATAATTGTCTTCTCTAGGCTTTGCTGTCTCCTCATGATGTGGCCAAAGTACTTCAACTTTGTCTCTAGTATCCTTCCCTCCAGTGAGCAGTCGGGCTTTATTTCCTGGAGGATGGACTGGTTGGATCTTCTCGCAGTCCAAGGCACTCGCAGCACTTTCCTCCAACACCACAGCTCAAAAGCATCGATCTTCCTTCGCTCAGCCTTCCCTAAGGTCCAGCTCTCACATCCATAGGTGACTACAGGGAATACCATGGCTTTGACTAGGCGGATCTTTGTTGCCAGTCTGATGTCTCTACTCTTCACTATTTTATCGAGACTGGACATTGCTCTCCTCCCAAGAAGTAAGCGTCTTCTGATTTCCTCGCTACAGTCTGCATCTGCAGTAATCTTTGCACCTAGAAATACAAAGTCTGTCACGGCCTCCACGGTTTCTCCCTCTATTTTCCAGTTGTCAATCATTCTTGTTGCCATAATCTTGTTTTTTTTTATGTTTAGCTGCAACCCAGCTTTTGCGCTTTCTTCTTTCACCTTGATTAGAAGGCTCCTCGGCTCCTCCTCGCTTTCGGCCATCAGAGTGGTGTCATCTGCATATCTGAGGTTGTTAATGTTTCTTCCAGCAATTTTCACCCCAGCTTTGCATTCCTCAAGCCCCGCACATCGCATGATGTGTTCTGCATACAAGTTAAAAAGGTTGGGTGAGAGTATGCAGCCTTGCCATACGCCTTTCCCAATCTTGAACCAGTCTGTTGTTCCCTGGTCAGTTCTTACTGTTGCTACTTGGTCCTTGTACAGATTCCTCAGGAGAGAGACAAGGTGGCTTGGTATGCCCATCCCACCAAGAACTTGCCACAAATTATTATGATCCACACAGTCAAAGGCTTTAGAATAGTCAATGAAAACAGAAATAGATGTTTTTTCTGAAACTCCCTGCCTTTCTCCATTATCCAGCAGATATTGGCAATCTGGTCTCTCGTTCTTCTGCCTTTTCTAAACCCAGCTTGAACATCTGGCAACTCTCGCTCCATTTATTGCTGGAGTCTTCCTTGGTAGGTGAACTACAACTCCAAAATCAAAGGGCACTGCCCACCAAACCCTTCCAGTATTTTCTGTTGGTCATGGGAGAACTGTGTGCCAAGTTTGGTTCAATTCCATTGTTGGTGGGGTTCAGAATTTTGATTGTAGGTGAACTATAAATCCCAGCAACTACAACTCCCAAATGACAAAATCATTTTTTTTGAGTGAAGGGCATACATTGGGTTGTTAGGTGTCTTGTGTCCAAATTTGGTGTCAATTCGTCCAGTGGTTTTTGAGTTCTGTTAATCCCACAAACGAACATTACATTTTTATTTATATAGATGACTGTATTCTCAATTCATTTTTGACACAATAAAGAAATAGCTTCACAGAGAAAAGGGGACTTCTGGTGTATTTTAGCAAGACAGTTTTTGCCTTGTTTGTTATTGGAGGTGCAGAGAGTTTAGATGTGTCAAATATATCGCAATTTGTGAATGAATTCTGTTGTCTTTATTGGCAGGGATGATGCTGAGGAACCTGAGGAGACTCTTGAGTCAGGGACGGACGGTGAGTTGCCTTGTCTCATTCTGTGAATGTAGAACCCAAAGATATAGATAGCCCTTTAGGGTCAATAGGCAACACAACACCCTTTTGGAGGACTCATTCACTTTTTAGAGATATAGCAGACATATGTATGCACACACACACACATACATACATACACACACACATTTTAATATGTGTATTTATGATATTTTTACAATATTTATATGTTTTAATTACTGTGTAACCTTCCTTGAGCCCAAGGAGAAGTAGGTAAGAAATAAAATTATTATTATTATTATTATTATTATTATTATTATTATTTTACTGACACAAAAGCACAGTATGTCACAGCAAATGAGATCTATATGCTGGATTTCGTATCACAAAATCACAAGTCGAACACTTCCCAAGCGTCTTAAGACTGTGTGATGTATTTTCGAATGATGTACACAGATCCAAGTTAGGTGGCCTTTTGCAGTTGACAGATCATGATTTTGTCGATGTTTATTGTTTCCAAATGCCAGCTGAGATATTTTGGCACAGCACCCAGTGCACCAATGACCACTGGGACCACCTGGACTGGTTTATGCCAGAGCCTTATTATTATTATTATTATTATTATTATTATTATTATTATTAATTGTACCAAGTGTTCTATTTTGTCATTTAAAATATTAGTCACAGAACACCAAGGATGAAGGACTCTGTTCCGTCTCCCAGGAGCCAGATTTGCCTTACTTTATAGTTGCTTGAGGTTGCTTCCTCTTGCATGTTCTCCCAGGGCTGCTGCAGCTTTGCAAGAGTCCTAAAAGTTAATAGTATCAGAGTCTGCAGGCCAATTTGCAGCTATTGGCTTAGAGAGCAGCTCTTTGAGTTTAGGGACTGCCTTTTCTTCCAGGGAAAGATCTCCATTTTAGATTCTCCCCTGCCTTTTAAATTTGAGGAAAACTTCAGACATGCTGACGGCTAGGCAGTTAGCTCTGGGAGAACCATTGCAAAAACTAAACTGAGTAAGCTATATTGAGTTAATATAGATAGTATATTGTGTATTGAGCAGTATTGAGATATTATAGACAGATAAGCTTAATTGAGAAGATTGAGTTATATAGTTATATAGAGAGAGTCTTGACTGCTTTGTCTCCAGAACCTTAAGTTATAGATAGGGAAAAACCTGCCTTTTTCTAAACCACAACAGTTTAAGGTTAGGGTGTTAAGATTCCAGGATCTTATCTGCCATCTGGAGAAAGGGTTACCTCTGTAAACTAAAGAAAGGAAAGAATATTTTTTTGTGGTTTCATCTATTGACTGTGTGTTTGCAACTTTGATGAACTGTGCCAAGTCTTCAAGGACTTTGAATAAATAAATATCCTTTTTGTTGTTTAAACCAGTAATAGTCTCAGTTGCTGAGTATCTCAAGCTTCTCAATATAGACACCTACAGTTCGCTCAGGCATAGAGAGAAGCACGTCGCAGTTTTATTTTTTATATCATCTGTGCGGACGGCACAGAATCTCTTCAAAGACGTTTGAGAAAGAAACAGTGCGCCAATGACCACTGGGACCACCTGTGCTGGTTTATGCCAGAGCCTTATTATTATTATTATTATTATTATTATTATTATTATTATTTTACCAAGTGTTCTATTTTGTCATTTAAAATATTAGTTGTAGAACACCAGGGATGAGGGACTCTCTACAAAGAAACCAATCAATAAAATACT